CCTCCTTCTAGCGCCAATTGTTCCAGGTATGGATCCAAGGGTTCCGCTGGGTGAGCTGGGTCCCGTTGAAACCCACACAGGGAAACACACGTAAAATGCCATCAGGGTGGCTCGAGGAACCTCCCTCCGATGCCTAAGTTAGAGAGTGTTTAGAGAGAGAAAGTGTACTTAGAGAGATGTAGAGTGTGTAATAACTTGTGTGTCTAACCTCTTTTTTGTTGTACTTTTCCCTCTATTTATAGGTGTATGATCTCCTTTGTGGAGAATCTGGCCTAGTCAGCTCTGTGGGCTAACTCTACCGGGCTGGTGAGCCCCTCTTAGTTGTCCTCTCGGCAATGAGTGCGCACCCTGGGAGCTGGGCGATAGTTCAGCGGGAGATATCCTATACAATTTGTTTTTTTTTTAATTATATTAAAAAAAATTTAAATAAAAAAAAACCAACCCCCCACAACCCACTACCCAGCCCCTTCCCGTCGGCCGGAAATCGGCGACTCTCCCCCTAGTGTCGACGACTCTCCCCCTAGTGCCAGCGACCACCCACTCTCCCTCGAAAATAACCTTCCACCACCGCAAATCCCAAACCCGTTTCCCCAAAACCACCCTCTCCCTGTTGGAATCGGCCCCCCTCCCTAGACCCCTACCCCGATTCGACCCCTATCCCCCTTCGCGTCCCCGAAAACTGACGAGTCCCCTTCCCTTTTCGCGCAGCTTGAAAACCTTAAACCCCACCTAAACCACCTTAAAACCCAAACCCGATTTCTGGGTTTGGTTTTAAAACCCTAAACGAGTTTGGGTTTTGCGGTGTTTTTGGGTTGGGTTTAGGGTTTCTGGGCCGGCGAACAGAGGATGGGGGTCGTCGGAGAAGGGGTCCGGTTTTCAAGGTGGATAATGCGGTCAGTGGTGGGTTATAAGGTGGCGGACCGGTGAAGGATGGTTGGGCGGCCGGTGCGCCAGCGTGGGTGGGGCGGGGGAGGGAGAAGTGGGGGAATAGGGTTTTTTTTTTTTAAAAAAAAAGAAAGAAAACTAACTAAATATAGTTAAATGTTTAGTTAAATTAATCATCAAGGTTATAATTGATTTAAAATAAAAAAAAAAGTTAAGTTTACCGTTGATAATTAATTTTAAGAATGTTCACCACTTGTAAAATTAAATAATTGGAGTTCACCAAATACAATTTCCCAAATAAAAAACATGTTCTAGCTTTAGGTAGCCTGTAAAAAGGCATGTTTTAAGAAGATTGGGGTATAAGGTGGGATTGTTTTGGTAATTCGAAAAGGTGGTATTGTTTTGAGCAAAATAGGTAAGGGTGGGATTATTAGTTTTCATTTTTCCTTTTTTATTTTTATCTTATGAAGTCTATTTAAATCTATCCAATGTGATGCGACACTTTGCCGTTACACTTAGCGAAAAGTTGAAACGGCAAAGTGTCGCAACGTCGTGACCTGGCTAAAAGTTTAGCTTTATATATCATATAAGTATTATATAAAATTAAACTTTGTGGGAAATTCTACATCGTGGCCTCCAGGTTTTAATTTTTCTACGTGGAAGACACACTTTGTTCCAATTCTCTCAAGTGGCATCCAAGTTTTGAAAAATCACGTACAGTGCCCTTTTTAAGGTTTTATGGCTAACCTTTTGATTTTTTGATTAACCACAATTAATTTTTTTTTTTTTTAAAATCAAATTCTTCAAAAAAAAAAAAAAAAAAAAAAAAAAAAAAAAAAAAAAAAAGAAAATTCACAGCCCCCAACCTACGACCACCCTCCCCACCACCACCATCCCGGAAGGCGGTGACCTTCACCATTCCAAGAACCCAGCACTCCCCCACCCTTCGCTGCCACCCAAACAACCTTCACCATTCCGACAACCCAGCCCGTCCCCCTACCCACTAAACCCACCACGTGAAACCCCAAAATATCCGACTCGAAACCTGAATAAACCCACCCCCGCCACGTTAAACCCCAAAATAAGGACCTTTCCCACCCTCAAAACCTTGGGCGTCTAAGTTTCAAGGGTGGGGGAGGGTCTAATTCGGGGTTTAAAGTGGTGGGAGAGGGTTTTTAAGGGGTTTCGGGTTGGGTATTTGGGGGTTTTGGGTTTGGGATATGAGGTTCAGGTGGTGTCGCGGTGGGTTCAGTGGGTAGGGGGACAGGGCTGCCGGCGCCGACGCGGTAAAAAGGGATTTTGGGCGCCGGTGGTGTATGGGGGTTGGGGTTGTGGATGGTGGACGTGGTGGTGGGAGGGTGGTCGTGGGTTTGGGATTTTTTTTTTTAAAAAAAATTCTTTTTTTTTATTTTATTATTTTAAAATATACTTTAATTAATTTTTAAACCAAAAAACCTAAGGTTAACCATTTTAATTATAAATGTTAGCCATAAACTAAAAAAAAGGACACTCTACATAATTTTGCAAAACCATAGTGCCACTTGAGAGAGTTGGAAAAAAGTGTGTCTTCCACGTAGAAAAATTAAAATCTGGAGGCCACCATGTAGAATTTCCCTTAAACTTTTAGCCAGGTCATGAGACAGCGACACTTGGCATTCTAATTTTTCGCCAAGTGTCGCGCCACGTTGTATAGATTTAAATAGACTTTATAGGATACAAAAGTTAGTTTAAAGTTTCATTTTCAATCAAATTTAGATAAAATTGTTACTTTAGAATTTTATTTTTGATAAAATACTAATATTTATGTATACAAATAAAATTATTATTTTATTTAAAAAAATATTAGATTATAACTCTCAATAAGTTTCATCTAAATTTATTTTTTATATCATAATAATTTTTTGGAGCGAAGGAAGTAGTTAAGTTAAGATAAATTCAGTTCAGGAAAAATAAATTATGATAAGGTTTAGCCAAGTAAAAATTAAAACTAAAATGAGTTTTAATAAGTTATACTCCCTTCGTTTCATAATGTTAGTCCCATATAGAATCAATTACATAAAATAAGAAAAAAAATATATTTGGAATCTAACATTAAAGTACAACATAATTCATAATTATTTTACCGTATTTAACTTTTTTGATTTTTTATTAGGAAAGCACAAGTCATAATTACATAATTTAAGACAAAACTTCCTTACTTAGAGTCATGTCATAAATCCACAATCAATTAATTCCAAAAAAAATCAAGTTATAAATGAAATATATTCAATATGGTTAGATCTTTTTGAAACGCCCAAAATAGTATATGGGACTAACATTATGAAACGGAGGGTGTATTAAGTTCAGATAAGTAAAAATCAAGTGAATAAAACACACCCTAATATAGATCGACATGTTAATTGGGTCGGGTCATGAGTCATTTCAGATCGGGTCACTCTAGGTTACAAGTCAAAAAATGTTCCACCCTAACCCAAAGTTTAATTTTGTGTTTGTGATCGACGGGCGTAGAACAATTTTTTTATCTAATTTATTTTTTGTTATTATTAGAATTTTCTAATATTTCATGCTTACCTGTTTTTTTTTTTGTATATTTAATCGAACATTTGCATCAATATCATTATTAGTCATTACATTTCTACAACATAGTTTAAATCGTTTGTATATATATATAAGTGTGAAGCGAATTATATATATATATATATATATATATATATATATATATATATTATATATATATATATATATATATAGGGTCGGGATCCGGTGAGAACCACCCTTTATGTGAGAACCACACCTTATGTGAGAACAAATCTCAGCCGCTAGATTAGATGAAATCCAACTGCTGAGATTATAAGCCTGCCTACAAACTAACTTTCAGCATCTAATTAATCTCTCCCCTCTATTCTGTCAGAAAATCAAAGCTCATCAATGGCGATTTACTTATCAATGGCGATTCACTAAGTATGCTCTTCTTTCGACAAATTTCAGCGGTTTCTTTCTGCAATTTTCAACGGTTTCTCTTTGCGAATTTCAACGGTCTCAATTTCATCCATCATTGAGGTTTGTTCGTAATTTTAATTTTGAATTGCATGTTAATCTGAATATTCAATATATTTTGATTTTACATCTCAGAAAAATTTGGAATTTCATGTTAATTTTCGAATTGAATTACATGTTAATTTTCGAATTACATTAATCGAATTGAATGTTTAATTGCATCAATTATTTGATTGAATTGAATCAATTATTTTGGTTTGATTAATTTGATAGAGATTTTAATAATATCAAATTAAACTTTATAGTGATTGAATCAATTATTTATGTTCTTATTTTCAATCAAATTCAAAATGAGCAAATAAATTAAAATGAGAAAACCTAAATATGTATAATAAAACATTTAAAAATGAAATGAAATTAGCAAACCTAAATATGTATAATAGAATAAAGTGGATATGAAATGAGCAAAGTGGATATGGAATGATCAAAGTCATATAAAAATGAGCAAATTGAACTTTGCTGTTATTATGTTCTTATTTTCAATGAAATTCAAAATGAGCAAATAAATTAAAATGAGCGAACCTAAATATGTATAATAGAACATTTAAAATGAGGTAACTACAATTAAAATGAGCAAATATTAATGACATTCATAAGTAATTCAAGGATCTATAAGTTTGGCAAATATTAGCTTGTAAAAACACTAAGTATATAGAATTGTGTATGTATGTGTGTGTGTGTGTGTGTGTGTGTGTGTGTGAGTGTGTGTATGTGAGTGAGTGTAATATTGTGTCTGTGTGTGAGTGTGAGTGTGAGTGTGATTGAGTGTAAGAGTTTATATATGTGGGCATTGAATTGCATGTTCATTTGACAAATGAGCAAACCTATCCCCCCCTGCCCCCTCCTCTTTCTGCTTGCAATTCTGATTTCAGAAATTGATTTCAGTTATAATTATAGATTATGAAATTATTGAGTGTGTGTGTGTGTGTGTGTGTGTGTGTGTAAGTGTGTATCTATGTCTATGTGTGTGTAAGTTTGTTTAAGAATCTGATTTCAGTTCTAATTATTAAGAGTGTATGTGTGTGTTTAAGTGTGTTTAAGGAGGTGCATATTCACAAATGATGAGCAACAAAGAACAAGTTGAGAGTCAATCAAGTACCATCACAAATGTGCCAACTACTCCTACAATAGTAGTTTCTCCTAAAGTAGCACCTTTGATCACTCCTGGAGGAACAAAAGAATGGCATCCAATATGCCCCAATGAGTTGAAACCAGCTATAGGGATGAAGTTTAATAATCTTGAAAAGGGCCTTGAATTTTATAAAGGCTGTTCATTTGCTTCTGGCTTCAATACAAGGAAGTCTACAACTAAAAGACAAAGAAGAAGCAAAGAATTAAAATATCAGTATATCTTGTGCAATAAGGAAGGATACAAAGAGAAAAGAAAGACTACTATAGAAAAAGATTTAAATAACAAGGAAGGGGAAAACAATGAAGAAAAATCTTCAATCAAAAGGAAGAGACTCGTTACTCGTGTTGGGTGCAAGGCACATATTGTCCTAAAGCATTGTGATGATAACACATTCATAGTGACAAAATTTCATGAGGGACATACTCATGCACTTTATACACCTAGCTGCAATCTATTCCAAAAAGAAGGAAGGAAAATGAACATTTTACACAAAAAAATAATTGTGAATAATTCTAAGGTAACACTTTCAAATTCTCTTATGTTTCATGAATTCCATGTATCTTCTAATAAAAGTTGTTTGCTCATTTGACAAATGAGCAAATAATTTGTTGCTCATTTGCCAAATGAGCATTTAATTGTTTCATGAATTCTCTTATGTTTCAAATTCTCTTATGTTTCATGAATTCTCTGTATGTTCTAATAAAAGCTGTTTGCTCATTTGACAAATGGGCAAATAATTTTTTTTCTCATTTGACAAATGAGCATTGAATTGTTTTCTCATTTTAAAAATGAGCATTGAATTATTTGCTCATGTGACAAACTGTTTTGTTCTTTAAATAGATGAATATTGGTCCCGTTACAACTTTTCGATTGATGAAGGAAATTGTTGGAGGATATGAAAACATTGGTTCATCTAAGGAAGATTTCAAAAATTTCCATAGAGATTTAAAAGCATACATTCAAGGAAGTGATGCTCAAATGTTCGTGAATAACTTTACCAACAAAAAGCTGATGTGGAGCGCTTTTTTCTTTGATTTTGAGATGGATGAAGATTATTGCCTTTGTAGAGCATTGTGGGCAGACCCCCTTTGTAAAAAGAGTTATGCTCTATTTAGTGATATGGTATCCTTTGATACCACATACCAAACCAACAGGTAATTCATTTATGTGTTATTACTAGCTATGGCTGAAATTAATGACTTTGTTTTAAATAAAATTAGTTTAATTTCTCATTACTTCTATGTGAAAATTGAATATCCCCATAAGTCTAATATTCTTTGATAAGAGTATGTATATGGGCATTGAATTTCATGTTCATTTGACAAATGAGCATTGAATTATTTGCTCATTTGACAAATGAGCATTGAATTGTTTGCTCATTTCACAAATGTGCATTGAGTTATTTGCTCATATGACAAATGAGCATTCAATTATTTGCACATTTGACAAAAGAGCAAAGAATTGTTTGCTTATTTCACAAATAAGCATTGAGTTATTTGCTCATTTGACAAATGAGCAATCGATTATTTGATAATTTTTCAAATGAGTATTAACTTATTTGCTCATTTAAACTTTATTTTGTATGTGTAAACAGGTACAACATGGTGTTTACTCCATTTACAGGCGTTGACCATCATAAGAATTGCATTAATTTTGCTGCTGGTTTCATAGCAAAGGAAGATATCGTGTCATTTGAATGGCTGTTCAGATCATTCCTCAAGGCAATGGGTGGGAATGAACCTAATTGTATGATCACATATCAGGATCAAGCAATGAAAATTGCTATTAGAAGTGTGTTTAAGAAGACTGAACATCAGTTCTGTATGTGGCACATAATGAAAAAGTTACTAGATAAGGTGGAGAAATCAATCATGCAAGAAGAAACTGGTTTCCTAAAAAAATTATGTGCTTGCGTTTGGCACCTTGAAATTGAACCTGCTGAGTTTGAAGAAAGGTGGAACAAGGTGATGATTGAATACCACTTGGAACAACATGAATGGTTAGGTTATATGTACAAGATAAGAGACAAGTGGATTCCGGCCTATTTCAGAGATGTGTTCCTTGGAGGAATAATGCGTACAACATCAAGATCCGAAAGTGAAAACAACTTTTTCTGCTCCTTTACCAATCCTCATGTGTCACTTGTTGAGTTTTACTTGAGATATGAAGCTGCAATTGATGCCCAGAGACACACTCAAGGTCAGAATGATAATGATTCAAAGCACAAATATCCTGAGTGCAAAACACCACTAGGGATAGAAAAGCATGCCTCACATTTATATACTAACTCTGTCTTTTATGAATTTCAATACGAGGTTGAAATTGCTTGTTTTTCTTGTGGTGTTGATGAATTGAAGAAAGAAAATGAATTGGAATTAGCAACAGTAAGTGAAGGAAATCGGACTAGAACATTTGATGTTGTGTTTAATCCAACTAACTATGACACCACATGTTCTTGCAAGCTATTTCATAGGCAAGGAATTCCATGTAGACATATGATTTGGGTTTGGAAAGAAAAAAGGTTTGAAACCATTCCCGAGCAGTATATGCTACACAGGTGGACTACTATGGCATTAAAGAAACCAATTTTTGACTTGGGAGGAAACCTGTTGCAGCAATGTGCTAATATAATAGACAAGAAAAAATTGTTAAATGATTTATGGTCAGAGATACACACTTGTGTAAGTTTGGCAGAAGGCAAAGATGAAGATAATCAAGACCTTGTGATAAATCTTTAAGGAATAAGAAACGATTTGGAAGCAAAGAGGATTGCAAGAAATAATGAAACAACAGCTGGAAGTGCAAAAAACAAAGAGCAAGACATTGAGCTATTGATTGGAGCTAGTGTGCCAACTGAAATAATTGTCAAACCTCCAAAAGTTTCAAAGAATAAAGGGACTAGAGTTCATGTATCAAATGAAGAGACTTCAAAAAAGAAAGCGAGTGAGACTGATGTGTCAAATGTTGAAACAAGAGGTATAAGTGCAAAAAGGCTTAAGGGAGAAAAAGAAAAGGTTGTAGAACAAAACCAAAAAAAGAAGAGATTATGTAGAGGTTGTGGTGAATTGAGTCATCATGATATTAGAAATTGTCCAAAAAAAGTGTAATGGTACTTTTATATACATATAAGATTTTGTTGAATTTTTATATTTAATAATATATTATTAATTTTGTACTAATTGATTAGGGGATTTTGCTCCCACCAATCGGAATGCGCCACGTCGGCCAATCAGGTCCTGCCAAGTGTCCCTCAGTTGGAACTGTCAGGGCTTGCCACGTGGCACCCGCTTATTCGTCCACCTTGGACCTATTATGTCATGACACGTGGCATACTACATGCCTAATGGAGAAACCGGCCACCCAGGCCCAACTTCCGAGGAAAGCCCAATCAGCCCAAGGTTAACCTAAACCTAGGATTGGCACGCTTCTCAAAGACTATAAATACTTAATTAATCCTCATTAAAGGGAATTAAGCAATTAAACACTCTCACCTAGAGAGACCCAATCACTTTAATTTCCGCATTAATTACTCCTTAATCAAGTACTAACTTGACCGTTGGAGGCGGAGCTCCCACCACCAGGAGTCTCCGTTGTTTTGCAGGTACAGGCGTCCGGTTCCAGTCTCGGAATTGTAACTCTCCCGCAGGACATCAGAAAACCCCGAAACATCTGGCGCCGTCTGTGGGGAGAGTACTTCTGAGATGGCATCCACGTCTGTACCGACTCCTGAAGAGAGGCGTCCCCTAGACGACCCTCAAGTTCAGTCGGACCACGATACTGAGAATGAATTTGAAGTTGAAGCTCACACAGCTTCAGACGGGACCCTAAGGGCCCGACGTACCCGTCACACCGAAAGGAGGGAACGGGAACATCTTCATACAGGAAGCGAGCCAGCAGGCGCACCGCCTGTTCGGCAACAGCCGACTGCTGGGTCTGCTCCCATCACAAGGAGTGAACTCATGACCTTCATGAGGGACTTCAAGGGAGAAATTCAAGAGTTGATCAACAAGAAGCCGCCTGCTCTGGACAAGGAGCAGTCGGCTAAGAAACCCTCCACTTCACAGAAGAGGAAGCCAGTTCAAGGGCGAGAGGCGACTCCTCATCCTAAATCTAGGAAGCGGGAGCCGACTGCCTTTGATTTCACAAAATACCGTTTTCCTACTCCAGGAAATAGGAAACCTGTTCGTCATATTCAGGCGGACGGGTCGAGGAAATCATACACAGACGCTCGGCTACTGCTAGAGCAGAAGAAGAGTGACCGATTGTCAGAGTCGGCCTCTACTTCAAACTTCCAAGACAGTATGCGAAATACCTCGATGAGGCATACTCAGTCGTATCATGAGAGTCATTCAGGCGGCACCTCCCGTCAGTCCGGCTATCATAGCGACCAGGCGGTACCAAACTTACCGTTTGTACCGCAACAACAGTATTTCTTACAGCCACCTCCGTTTGGTGGATATGCAGAAAAAAACGTCCAACCTATGGACTGGCAGCTACGGTTGCTTAGACTTGGCGAACATCTGTCGGCCTTCTCCAAGGAAATTACTGAAGCCGCTCAGCCGGCCAAAGTGAAAAATGTATTAGTAGGCGCCTATGACGGCACTACTAACCCAGAAGACCATCTGATGGCATTCACCAACCTGATGTACCTTCAAGGGTTGGATGATCCCACTCAAGCAGGAGTGACGGCGACTGAGTAACACCAAAGTTAACTCATAGTCACTCTCTCAAAACTTAGTATGGAGCCTAAAAGGTATGAGTCGTCCGCCTGTTTTTAGCAAACAGGGGCTCTCAACCACTACTCCTCTAGGTTAACAACCTATGAGATAAAAGCCAACAAACATTGGCGAATAAAGGGGAACAACCGGTACCCACCGCTTGACACCTCTACTACTCAGTTACTTGGCGACTAGGTAACAATCATGTTTACTTGATCAAACCACTTTCCTACTTGGTTAATTTTACAAATGACAGGACCGCCTGCCTAAAGGGGATCCAGTCTTTAAAATGGTTCGAATACCGATTGGATAAATGGCCGACTGATCGTCTAGCCTGGAAACAGACAACCAGTCGTCCAGGGGCATAGGCGGCGTGACTAACTATCCGTACCTGTCTGCAACTATCGGCCATGTAAAACAGTCGGTATAGTGTACAATTGGATATCAGAATATTCAATACTTGAACAAATTTGAAGCAAAACAAAAAATTCATTAAAAAGAAGCCGGTCATCAAAGACCGGCAAAATATTCAGAGCCCCGGCCCCCTGGCCGGGTAAATACAAACAAACGGCATACAGGCCGTGGAAAGAAGACATAAAGCTTAAGAAGGGGGTAGATCTTCAATATTAGCAGCTGCCGCCTGGTCAACACTCTTCTTGCTGGACTCGGCTTCAGCTACATCCTTTTTTGATGCATTACCCCCAAGAGGCACAAGCGCCACTACCGGCTCCTCCTCCTCCAACGCCTCTTCCTCAGCAGCCGCTAGGATCTCTTGATTATATATATCAGAACACTCGCGGTACGGTTTTTTCCATGAGGCAAAGTCAGCATTGGGGAAGAGGCGGCCCCAAGTCATGCGCTGGATTTGAGCAGAGTCTTCCATCATCTCCCGGACCAGCTCTTTCTTTTCTTGCTCGGCCTTTTCCGAGAGCTCCTGAGTAAGACTCTTCTCCTGGGTCACCAGGCGTACCTTTACGCTCGCCAAGGATTTCTCCAAGGTTTCGTATGAGGACATCTTTTGGCGAAGAGGTCTCAGCTCGGCCTTGAGGCTGTTGATGGTCGCCTCTAGCTCGCTATTCCTCTTCTGGGCCGCCTCTAACTGAGCCCGGATAGCGGCGGTAGCCTGCGCCTGATAATAAAGAATATAAATGGTCAGAACTTCATTTTGGGCAATTTGAAACGTTGCCTTATCACAGTCAGAGGTGGCCATAGCTTTTGCAGCCTTTACCTCTTTGTTCTTCCGGTCAAGCGGCTTGCGAAGGCCGTTCACTCGGAGCAGGGCCTAAGTAAAAAGGGGAACAGGCGTCAGTTTCCAAACAAAAAAAAAACGGGCGTCCTGGAATTCAAATACTCAAACATATGCTAAGTATACCTCAGCAAGGACCCCTGCAATCCCGTCTAGGTCAAGGGTGCTGACACCCCTGACCGCCTCCCTTTCAGCTGGAGGAACGGCCTTGATCATAGACTTGGCCACCTCGACCAAGTCAGGCTCCTCAGGGCCGGCTGCATCAAGCATAAACAAACAAATTAGACCTAGTAAAAAAGGGAGCAAGTCTAAAATTTACAAGGACAACTTCATACTTCTAGGCGGCCCAGCTAGAGTTTTAGAAGAAGTGGTCGGCTGTTTCTCAGCCGCCGCATGTTTCCTGGCAGAACCAGGAGAGCTCGCAACAGTCGTCCTCCGGGCCTTGGGGTCCGGCTGTTCGGAAGAAGAAGCTCTTGGAGCGCCCGTCTAAAAAAGAAGAAGTCAGTATATGCATAAACACAACTCCAAAAAGAGGGTGAAAGGTTCGAAGCCCACCAAGGGTGCCCCCTTGTTGGGGGAGTCGGTTGAAGCTTGTTGCATGATGGAGGCCCGCAACATGGCCGCCGCAGTCTTGGAGGCGGTAATTTTGCTCATGGCGTCCGCTGCAAAAACAAATAGCAAAGTTAATAAAAGTCATAACAAGAAATGCATGGAACAACAGAGTATTCGACAGGCCGGCTACCTCTTGAGCACCGACTGCTGAGGCCACAGGCGGCCAAAAAGTACTCGTCGTAGAGCCATTTGAAGCTCGGGACGCAGTGCAGGGGTACTTGCTCTCGTACCCCTGAAGTAGAGTTCACCTTCGACTCTACTTTGAAGAATCCTTTATCTAGGATCTCTTTCTTAGCCTTGGGGGGAACAGGCGGCATGCTGCGGCCGCCTGCAAGAAGGGGCGGATTCCTGTTCCACCTGTTGAAGCGATTGTTCAGCTCTGTGTCTGAACTCTCAATGATGAGGAAGGTGCTCCGCCAGTCCTTCCATTTGTTTGCTTTACCTCTCGTCATGAGGTAGCCCCTGTGGCTCGTCAATTGATACCAGCCGGTACCGCCTGCCTTAGGGGTCCGGCTGAGGTAGTTCATGTGGGCGAAAGCCTCGAAGCTCGGCTCCACCCCGTGCAGTTCGCACCCGGCCACATAGCCGAGTACGTTGACCTAGGAGTTCGGGGCTAACTGTCATAACCCCAACTCATACCCATCCAAGATCCGCTGAACAGCCGGATGTAGTGGGAAGCGCAGCCTAGCCTTGATGACCGCCTCGTAGCAGCCAAAGCAGGCGCTATCATAACTGGTACCAGCCGGCCAGACGACTGTGTCTTCTGGATCCGGCACAAACACTAAAAAGTCGGGGCCCATTGTGTGGTTTGCGATAAAGCTCTCCACTTTCTCTTGCATGGCCGTGATCCGGCCCCGAGGTACCGTGCAGTAGTAGGGGGTATTTTGCTCTCGGTAAGAGGCGGATGGCTCCGCCCAATCGTCCCCCTTCTCAACTGCGTGAGAAAGCCTCGCCTCTTTGACAAGGGTTAAATCGGTCGCTACAATCTAACTCTCAATCAAACAATACTTATACGAACACCCTATAACCAAGTACAATGGCAAATAAAGGTTCGGTCCACGAGGAACGAGAGTAATTGCAAATCAATCTTAAACCTAAGCTAGTTCGAAATCAATGGAAAATGGTGTTCTAAAATACTACTAATAAGATGGAATAAATCAAT